AACTTGAAGTTGAAATTGAAAAGGAGACCTCTAATTTTTCCCTTGAGAAACATAATTTAGTTTTTTTTTACGATCCTCAGATAAAGACACAATATGAAACTGCTAGGTTATACTACTACCATAGTATTTCCAAAATAAGGTGAATCAATTCTAACACTGGTAATTTTCTCGGAATTTCGGCGCTACCAGACTGGGCAAATTAAATTTAAACTTTGATTTCTTTAATTCGGATTATTATGTGTAGAATGGCTGCAATCTTATGGGCTTTTTCAAGTATGACCGATGGGTTACTAGCCCTAAAAATACACTACGGCTACAAGCGCGTGTATAAAAACATAATCCTAGAGCGTATACTAATTTTTATCCTAGTAACCTTCTTTGAGAACAGATCAATATGTAAAATACTCAGTAAATGAAAGCAATAGCTTAAGAAGATAGCTTAACGGCTAAGCATAGCTTAGATGATGCTGAGGCAACCTACTATATGTAATACTAATCCTCTTAACTTCTCCTTTCCTACTAGGTTTCCTACATCTGCCATTCCACTACTAACTGTTACTGCGTGCACAGAGGTTATTCTCTATCCTGCTCAATTTACTTGCACTATTCCTATTTGATGTATTTCTAAATTTCTGAATTTTACAAGTTATTTTAGACGCAGTATCCATAATGCGAATCCCCGCCACTTACCATAGTCGATTCGGTGAAAAATTCATATTCTTGCCTGCATAGGGTTTAAAAGTTTTTCAAAGAATCCATTTTAAGTAATTTATAATTGCTTTTCCTACTTTCCTCGTTTGTCGTTCAAATTATGTCCTACACCTAGTTGAGCTTAAAAAATACTCGGAAGTTGGAAGTGCTGTCATAAAAAGCATATATCTAATTCTGAGTCAGATTATGCATTGATTTTTTCCTGACGAAATATTGATTTTACTGTCCTTAGAACAACGGTTTCCTATCCACACTATAAGAACATTGTTTTGAGATCCACGGTTGCGTAACGACAGTTACTTGGCTTGACCTCCGGAATTAGTTATGCAACATCGGAAACACATCCGTAAGTCGTTTCCGCTTATCCAATACGCAACAAACTTTATGCAAACGTTGAGTTGATAGACCTTCTACGATCAGGGCATCTTTCAAGCATTCATTCATCGTAATCGTTTGCAGTAGATAACAATCAGCCGTCTGGACTAATCCTCACCTATTGGTGTGCCGGCTAATAAGCGTGCGTGCAGCGAAAAACAGATCCTGCCGTTCACCTGTCTCTGGATAACATCTATGTGATGAAGAATAGGATATAGAGAAAAGGATTTGGTTATACAATTCTGCTTATAATTTAGAAGAAGATTGTCACACAAACTTCTAAAGGTTTCGTGCAATGTACAGGTGGATCACACGTAATTAGTCGGCTAATGATGAGCTCGTGAAGTTTGCTATGAGAAGATTGCCGACGGGGAGTCTTAAAAGAGAGCCTTTGATC